GTTGCGTGTGGAGAGGTATCGCTGCCCTCCAGATGGAAGCATAGCAGTGCATCGGCGTACAAATTGTAGATGGTCGTCCACGATCCGTACCAGTCGTAAGCGAGCTTCGCGTGTGTTTGATCTCGAGACATGCCCAACTCCTCCCACTTGGCGATGTAGGTATCTGCGATGTCCTATATAGATGGTGAGAAGATTTTCCTGCGTGTATGACTGCACAACTAACCTTGTAGTATGAGGCGTCTTCATCATTGCCAACCACCTCAGCTAGCTTGCTCATGGCATTGATGCCGACGATACCTTTGAGCGCCAAGTTCGTTTGAAGCGCAAGCCAGCCGGCAAAATCGTCTGTCGAAACTATTTGAGAGTGAGCTACTGTCATGAGATCCACTTAGGTGAACACCTTACGCTGATTCTCTGGCTCCAGCGAAAATTCCACCAAGTAGCCAGTCCACTGTTTCCAGAGACGGTAACTGCGCTGAAGCCATCTCTCTGCCTCACGTTGGCCCTGTATACCACCACCCCATCTTCCATCCTGCTTATCGATACCTCCATGTGCTTGAAGGTTTACCAGAGGAAAGTACCCGGGATGATCGTCCGAAAGTACAGGGCTTTCGCCTTGTGTCGACCAGATGGAAGACGCGGCAGAATCTTCCGAATAACGCAGCGAGTTCACGATAGCCAAACCCATGATGAGGATGTTACCGCATTCCTCCACCGGCATGTACTCATCGTTTCCATCCGGATGCCCAGTGGCATTCGGGAAATGAGTTCCCAAATCATGCATGGCGTAAGTGTTTGGGTATTGTCCACTCAACATGTGCTCGATCAACGGCTCCAGAAGGTAGGCCAACCACCGCGGGTTAGTATACAAGAAAAACGGAAATGCAGGGAAGATGACATCAATTGTCTGGAAGTTTCCATTGGATGAGATCTCTTTCAGAAACAAGATCGGATCTTCAGGCGTTCCAGAGAAGGTAGTTGCCCCCATGACCTGTCGAGCAGAGAGTGCGACAATGTCAACGTAGTCGTGAGCCCCCGACTGATAGGCATCCTTGGCTAACTGCTCCGAGTAGTTGGAGGCCAACGCACTCGCCTGGGAGAAGTCGTGGTAGTGGAAGTTCAGGAGCGCGTCAACACTAGGGAACCATGACTCCCACAGAGGTCGCATCAGAGTCAAACCACGTGCAGAGGCATATTGGACAACAGGATCTTGGATCAAGGCAATACTAAAGGTTACGCTGGCGCTGGTCGGCCCAGATTTCCGGTTGAGGACGAATGACTTGGAGAATGCAAAGACCGGCTCTCGGTCTCCAATGGCACGGAAGACTTCATCGTTGACGTTGTCGAGGACTCCTTGGGTCAAGAAGGTTTTCCTTACGGCCGACGCCTCGCCAGACTGAAATTGGACATCCTAGATGCTTGGGTCAGCAACGAGCAGAGTGACACTACTCTCCAGTTTACATACGGCGGGCGCGGTGAAGTGAAGAGTGCCCCATTCGGCACGATCGCGGATTTCCGAGAACAGCAGCTCCGACTGTCTCTGAAATCTCCACCTCCGCAGAGCTGGTTTGTTGTCTTTCGCATCGAACGCGTCATACTGCCAAGAGATGTGACTCCGGGTGTCACCGCTCACCCAGCCTCCGTTGATGTCCATATAGACATTTACGCTTACTTCACCATGAACATGTACTGTGACATATGATGCGGGAATCGACTGCCGCAGAGTCGATGTAGGAGTGATGGGAGACAAGAAAGAGACGGTGATCTCCAGGGGATGGGAGGCAGAGGTGGAAGGATCAACGCGGTAGGTCAGATTGGTGGTAGATGCGTCGTAGTTGGCTCCAAGGTATGTCGGGAAATCGATCTGTGTCCTAGCAGCGTCTATCAGTTGGATGAAAGCAGATGGGATGATGCTGTGCCTACCCAGACAGGGATTCGTGAGGCTTGCCCAACAACGGATACACGGTGCCTGTGCTCGGAACATGAGCCATCAGAGAGAGGCCCACCTCCTCGCCAGTGTAGAACATGGGCCATTTGGTCCAGGGTTCATCTCTGGCATTTCCGAGCCATGTGCTTAGGTAGGGGTTCCGCACGATCAGAGGCAGAACAGGCGGCGTCAAGCTGGACGCAATGCCGACGGTCGCCTGAAGGGCGGCTGCCAGCACCGCAAGGGATGGGCGCATTGTGGTTGATTCAGAGCAATCAACCGACAGGTGATGAATAAAGATATCAGCCAAAGAACAGGGGATGATGGATAGGATGGGGGAAGCTGTCCATCAAGCAGCACTGATGGATGAAGTTGGAAGAAGAGCGGAGGTGGAGGTCGGGGGATGGTAAACAGCTGAACAGTAAGCACCTGATGATGCAATCATTCCATGGCAGGGCAACGATCGACACGGTCGGGACAGCGAACGAATATTGCACTGTCCGAGCCACTATCAGGCTTCTTAGAGGATGGCTCAAGATGATATGAATCGATTATAGTAATTTGTACGACGTATGGGGACTCAATGGCAAAGACAGACTCTCCAAGAGCCAAAATGCGGGGAAAGCTGGGGATTCCCGCATCGGGACGATAAGCTAATCTGCCAGGCACCAGAGATGACTTTATGATTGCATTCTTAGTAGCCCAGCGCTTGGCCTATAAGAGTATCAATATGGTATCTGGGAAGTTTGTTTTCCTGGGAGCGCGACTCAGCTAATAATAGAGAAAGTGAGCTCAACTTAAGGTTACATACACTGTGATCCCACGGTTGTTACTGCTTGGTAACTTGCGTATGCAGGAGCCTCTTATGTCATATTCATTCAATGATATTGCCGTCCAAGTCACATTTGTACATTCCAGAATGTCGAACAAAAAGAAAGAAAAGCTAGGTTTGTAATAAAATCATGTTACCCTGTGATAGTGTTTCTATGCCAGTACAAGTAGTTACAACCTGCCTTAGAACTGAAAGAGAGCATACGTCGATACAAATATCTTACAAATTCCCATTTATAGGCATGGAGTATATTTCAAACACTTCTACTATCCTTTTGTTATGATATACTGTAGCTTCATGTTAGTAAGATAGGTATATTCCAGATTGTCAGAATACTGTCTACTATACCTGTAGGACATCCATCAGTATCTCAGAACAGCGTTTTATATACTGAAAGGCGTGAAAGCCCCTCTATTGTACTCGTTGAGGAGGCATGACACCGAATACTTTCGTCCACAATTAGTAGACATGCATTACACAGGGAGATGCGCTGAAACCATGGCTTGGTGGACATGTCGACTATAACATGAGCTGTTTCATGACTAGGTAGCTAACTATTCCTGCTACTGATTGAAGATCCTTAATGCCTATTTAGTCTCTTTGACTCGGGCATAGACGTACACGTTATGAGTAGTAATGATATGAACCGGATGGATGTCAAGAGTTAGGGCCCGCTCCCCTTAGCTCCCTAGATTAGCAAACAGATGATCTTACACCTGACTAGTTACTATAAACCATCTCAAATTAGATAAGATAATGGAAAACTAGAGTTGCACAACCGTAAGTACTATTACTTTGTATCACTGAAAGCCCCATTCACATGTGCTGAATCGAGGGTGCATATTAACGACCAATCAACGACTGTCGTGTACTGCATTTCTGTCCCACTTTGGTTATCCCCGCCCCAAAAGAGTAAGGGCCTAGCCTCATCTGGACCAACTACCCCGCAAATGCATGTCACTAACTACAAACGGTAATCAATACATCTGAGTTGAAGTTGTGCTTAGAGACGAACACGCTGCTCTGACGATTATACAAAGGTATTGCCCAATATTAGAGGTCTCACTGAATCTTTAACATTAACTGCTTTTGGTGGGGTTTACTCAAAGGTTTCGTCGAGCCGCTGTCATACCTAATCCCGATCTGACCGCCACGAAATATGTCTCCGATGAGGTTTGGATGCATGGCTTCTACAACAGAACATGAGTGACACTATTTTCTTTTTCTGTTTTCTTTTCCATTTCCGCAGCATTACTGATCACTTGGCTACTTGAAGTTGCTTACTGGGCTCAGGATACTATTATATCTGACAATCTAAAGTATCCATCTTCAGCAACACAAGCATTGGCTCCCCCCCGCGCACGCGTCATAGCTTTGTTTGGACCAACGCCAGCATTGTCCCTGACTACGAGGTTCACTGATATTTATGAGAATGACAATGACTAGAACCCTCTGGCTGTATATCATGGGTCCGCCAATTCTCGCTTATAAACTAGTTGCGGAATTTTGAAATCCAAGAAGACATGTGGTACAAGGTTAAAGGGCAACAGCCAAACCACAGCATGTCAGTGAAATTTTGAGGCAGACAAACGTTCTACCACTGGGACATAATAAAGCCCCGTTGCTATTGCTGGAGAGCAAAGATGGAGCCCCGTGCAGCAGCCAGTCATTTTCACAGCTTCAGGAATGTGGGTGCTTTTGCTTGCATCTCATCTAGATCGTGATAAAGTGGAACCCGAGTGACAGAAACACCTGGATTACACGTGTAGAAAGATAGCTTCTGGCAACACCAATATCCCAGTAATAAAACCACCCATTGGCGAATGTTCAGTGAAGAGCGTTACCACATCTTCTTTCCCGGAGAAACCACGACGCCGTAAAAGTGGATGTTGAAAGCGGCCGACGCGTGGAAGGGAAGACACGCTATGAGGCTGGACGTTGCTTAGTTTCACCGCAAGGGGAACCACCGAACCCTCGACGCGGATGACCACGCGCCTCGTCTTCCCCCATCTTTCTCCCCAACTCGCTGCCATTGAGTCTTCTGACCCAGACCGTGACCTTGGTTTTCTCCCTTGCTTCCTTTCTCTTAACCTTTCGGACCCAATTGCACCAGCTCGTGATCTCCACCCCGGAAGACGTGTGTGCGCGTGTGTGGGCATCGTGACTTGGTACTACTAGTACTTTACTACCATTTCTACTAGACCCTCTCACCCTAAACTTCCCCCCCAACACTCTCTCTTACTTTACCTACACCACGACACCACCCTTTTCTAAAGCTCCTATTCTCCGGGGCACGTCACACCCTCAAATGCACTCTACCATGTCTGCATCACACCCCAGCCCCGTCAAAGACGGTAGGCGAGTCCTCGGCGAGAAGCACGCCAACGCGTGCCTGTCACCCGCCCACCATCGGCACGTTTCTGTCTCGCCCCTCAAACAACGCCCTCTCCTTGAGACCTCCTCCTCTCCTAAGAAGCTCCTTCCTTCGCCTCTCTTTGCTGGCCAGAAACGCTCTATCGATCAGGTGGATAGCACCAGCGAACCCCAGATCAGCCATGCCAGCGCGCAGCCCCAGTCGCGGCCAGAAGCATCTCCGAACGTGCAGCATGACGTTCAGCCGGACCCTCAGGTATGTACCACAACAATTCCACACACACACAGCAAAAAATGCGTCAAATCGTCCATTGACTCTAACAAAAGCCGATCCAGCCACACGCGACGCCTGAGACACCAACACAGCTTCTAGAATCACAACAACACCAACCACAAGAAGATACCCACCCCGACCAAACATCATCAACAACAACGTCAACACCCCTCATCCCCGAAGACCCAGCAACCCGCAAGCGCTTCATTCAAGAAGTATGTATCTAACATCTCTATTCCTATTGACAAAGAAACTAAAAAATCCCCAAGAAAGCAACCCTCCTCCGCACGCGCCTTCAAACAGCTATGCGTCACATCCACGACCCCCAACTCGATCGCCGTCTCTCCGACCTAGAAGCCCACAGTCGCAAATACCCTCGTCTATCTCTCCCCCAAGAACAGCGAATCATGACTACGCCGAACTCCTCTTCTACATCATCTTCCTCCCAAAACCAGAACCAGACCACCCCGCGCCCTTACCAACCCACCACACACCTCCCGCTGCATGAAACCGAGACCCAGAACGCGTCCGGCCTCTCCTCCCCACCCCTATCAACCGGAACGATCGCAACACAGAAGGAACCGGAACAAGAAACACAGACACCCGCACAAAGAGAAGAACGCGATGATGACGATGACCCCATGAAGACACCCACCCAGAAATCAACAACACTTCATACCCACACCCACCGCAGAACAAATACTCTCGGCTCCCCAATGCAATTGAGTAGTCCTCCGGCGACGGTATCGAGGCGTAGAAATACAGAAACTAGCAGTGGAGAAGAAGAAGAAGGGCCACAAGAGAGACAGCGCCGGTTATCGCAAAAGGGGGATGCAGTGGATGGATTGTTGAAGTTAATGGGAACGGGAGAGGGTGTTGTTAGTGGAACTGCTGGGGTCGCGTGAGCTGTTTTACTTGTTTTTGGTTGGACTTTGGTTATAGATGGTATTGGAGTTGGGGTTGGGTTCGTTGGTCAAAATTGGATTCGTGTGGAGTTTGTGCTTGCTTGCTTGCTTGGTGGCTTTCCTGTCATTTTGGTTTGGGGAAGCGTGTATTAGTATGGGATTGCTGGGGTGCATGTATGTGCCGTGGATGGGATGGTGGAAGACATACACATAGATAGATAGACAGACGTTACATACGTGACTACTTAGGACCTATCGCACCAGCAATGGGTTCAAGTGGAAAGTCAATGATATGATACCAACATTGGAATGAAAGTCAAATCTACATGCCATTGCTAAGTTAAACGACATTATATACAAACAACTCTATGTGCATAGTAGTAAGTAACTTAAAACTACCGCACCTTCTTCAACTTATTCCTCTTCCTTCCCAACACATCTCTCCCCTCCTCAATCTCACCCGCAGCCTCTCTCTTGGCCTCACCGACCTCCTTCAATACACCCGTCCTAACAACCCTACCTTCAACACTAACACCCTCCTCACTCCACTCCTCCATCTGCCTACCCACCCTCTCCTCAATCGCCAACACCAGACTCACATCCCGTTGCCCAACAAGCGTGACCGACTCACCCTTTCTCCCTGCACGCGCCGTTCGACCAACCCGATGCACATAATCATCCGGATTCCTGGGCACATCGAAATTGACCACCAACTCCACCGACGGAATATCCAAACCACGGGACGCCACATCCGTCGCAACGAGCAACCTCGCCGCGGACGCTCTAAACCTCGCCAGATTGGCATTGCGCTCCGACTGCGGCAGCAGACTATGCAGGGATGTAACGCGGTGAGACAGCCTGCGGAGCATGCGCTCCAGCAAGTCCGCCGTCTTGGTGTGGTTGCAGAAAATGATGGCTGGTTTGGAGGCGTTCGCTTCCGTGGAGAGGAGGACGTGGAGGAAGGCTTCGCGGTGGGTCATGGGGACTTTAAGGTAGGTTTGCTTGAGGGTCGGGGGGATGGAAGCGTTGTTTTCGGTGGAGATTTCGGTGACGAAGATGGGGGGTTTGGTGGACGGCCGGGGCATGGATTTCAGCGCGCGCACTTCCGGTGTTAGGGTTGCTGTGAAGAGGAGGGTTTGGCGCTCGCTGGAGGGCGGGAGAGCCGAGAGGCAGGTTTCCACGTCCGGGAGCATGCTGCCGTGTCCTGGGGCGAGGAGCCGGTCTGCTTCGTCGAGAACGACCATGCGGACGCGCTTCAGGCCGCGGATGGTGTCGGAGCCGGAGGTGTTGATGTGGTCGGCGAGACGGCCGGGCGTGGCGATCACGACGTGTGGGCGTTGTGCGAGGGCCACGGCTTGTGGGCGCATGTCGGTGCCGCCGGTGATGAGGAGGGGTTTCATGCTTTGAGGGGCGGAGATGGCTTTGATTTGTTCGTAGATTTGGAGGGCGAGTTCACTAGGCACATCGGATTAGATGATGAATGATGGGCATTGGGAGTGGGGGATAGGTTCTTACCGAGTTGGAGTGAGGACAAGGCCGAAGATACCGAATGGATCCTCCGCCCATTTCTGCAGCATGGGCACTGAGAAGGCAATGGTCTTACCGGAACCAGTCCGGCTTCCACCAATGCAGTCCCGGCCGTTTAGGATCTCAGGAATACACGCTTTTTGAATGGCGGTTGGTTTGCGAACGGCCATGGTGGTTAAGGAGCCGATCAACCACGGCGCCACGTTGAGAGAGGCGAATGAGTTCTGTGCATCGTTGAGACCAATCTCCAGAGCATCCTTGATCAGGACAGGCTCGTCTTTATCCGATGTGGCGGGCTTCTTCTCTTCATCTGCGCCCTTCTTCTTGATACGGGAGAGTGTGGGGAGCGGCGCCGGAGCAACGTAGGAGTCGGTGGAAGACTCCGAGAGACGTCTTCTCTTGGGGGCGCGGGATTGCAGATCGGTCTGCTCGACCTCCGAGTCGGAGGACTCGTGGGATTCGTCCACAACAGGTTCTGGAGAGCTGGAGGGCGCCATGATTGGGGTGGAAACTGGATGAAGATCTGATGCGCTTCGATTTTCTTCCAAATTTCGCGGCAGAAAAAGAAGTCCGCGCTGAGCGGTGACGGACTTACGCTAACTTTATTGGGGATAGACTGGATTTAAGATCGGACCAATCAGAATGCTTCGACTACAGGGTTATTTACTTCGAAAGATATTATCTGCGCAAGGATACATTGGTGGACAATATAATGCTGCATTCATCCTGCTGGAATTATACGTCAAAGGAACTGTCGACTGCAACTCATGCCATGTGAAAATGGCACTAAACCTGTACAAATCCCTCCCAAATTCGAATAATGATGGTTCACACAAGGCCCAGCTGCCCAAACTCATCCGTGATTGTAACCCAAGGTAAAACGCCGGTTCATCAAATGCAAGCGACATCCAACAACTATACACTCCAGTACCACGCCGCGGTGGTACCGGCGGTCGAAACCGGCGGAGAAAAACAAATAATAACAGATACAGCGCCAGGTTAACATGACTATTTGCGCTTAAAGAGCTGCATGACGGAGAGTCTATATCATTGACAGATCATGAACGGTAGATGCCTGCCCTAGAATCAGTCACCTGCCCAACTAATTATGTAGCTTTGCTGTACATACCTGGAAATGACTGTGGTGTCTGTCCAGCGCCCAGTCCCCGTGGAAGCGGGATCTGGGAGATCGAACTGGGCATATCGATCCTCCGAATCAGATCGACCATCCTTTCCGGAGAGAACTTCCCCGCGTTGTATGCTGAGGCAGAAGGTATGATGCTGAGAAGGTAAACAATGTCGCGCGGCAGAGGTGCCGGTGATCCTTGCGACCGGAACTGGCTTCCGGACGGCCCGCCCATGGTCTGTTGTGTGCGCTTCTGGTCCAGCTGGCGTCGCTGCGTCGTCTTGAGGGGCGACTCGGCACGCACGAACTTGCGCGGCCGAGCCATGTCGTCATCGAAGTCATCTAGCTGGCGTTTGGGCGAGTCTGTCGCAGACGCGTCCTGATACCGCGCAGTAGGCGTGGCATGACGGGACATGGCTTGCTCGGCCGGGTATGCCATCTTCGGCCGTGTCTGAGAGGGAGAGATGATGGGTCGCACAGCGGTAGGATCGAAGCCAGGGGTCGAGTATCGGTGTGCAAATTGCTCCAGAGTGGGATCCTCTGGGAACAATTCGCGCATGCGGTTTTCAAGATTGATCACTTGGACAAGGTCACCGTACCGCGACTCGTATTCGTGGAGGAAGGCAAAGATAGGCTTCGTCTTCTGGACGTTCTCGGGATTAGAAGCAAGCTTCCTGACCGTCATCTCGAATACAGCTCGTGCATCTGGAGTCTGTCAGTATGAGAACCGTAGAATTTTAGCCATCAACATGAACTTACTGATAACGTCGTTAATGTCGATGAGATGCTTCAAGTATTCCAGCGCAAAGTTTTCGTCCTCAGGGAACAGCTTCGCACCACGCTCGAAGATCTTCGTCGCAGCGGGGTCTTTGTAGCAATGGTACTCAATGAGAGCACTGGCAATGTAGACATCACTGGTAATGCGACCCCGCTTGCGCGCATCCGCAAAAATCTGTCTCGAGCCGGGCATCTCCCCAGGCTTGCCTTTACCTTGGATGCGGCGCATGGCACGCATAAGAGCTATCCAGGCAAAGGATATCGTCTTGGAAAGAATACCAATCTGTATGGCATGTGCTTGTCGGACCGCGTCAATCTGTGCGTTCTTGACGGACTCTCTCGCCTTCGCCTCACTCTGATCGTCATCGTCGTCCTCGTTCTTTGTCGGTTGTTTCTCGGGATTCATCTTTGCGAAAGTCTCTTCGAGATGAGCAACATCTTGCTGCTCCCGAGTCCGGGCTTTGGCGATCAAATCGTAGAGTGAATCCAAGAGTCGGTCGTAGGGTTCTCTGACTTTAGCGCCACGCTTGACGGGGTCCTGCTCCGAATCAGAGTTAATTTCCAGCCAGTCCGCACGCTTGAATGCAAGCAAGCAGCTTTCTGGATTGCCGTCGATTCCGTGCTTCAAGAACTCATTCCCTTCGGTCTCCATGTCGTTGTGGAAGCAGAACTCAGCAGCTTCAAACCACAACTCGGGCAGAAACCTCAATGCCATGAGTGCTTGCTTGTAGACATAGACCACACGCGTCCGGAAAACGCTCATGTCTTCCTCCTTCAAGACAAGCGGGTCGCCCTTCTCCCAACTGATCCAGCGCTTCCAGATCTCGACCTGTTGCAGGAACTCGATATCGCCGTCCGAACCTGGAACGGGAGGTAACCTCGGCAGCGTTGTCCGATTGAGATCCCTAGTGATGTTCTGCAATTCAGTGAAGGAGCTGCGGGCGGTCATATACGCCGGAGACTGCTCCTGTAGAAACTTGCGGCCCTGTTTGAAGAAGAGTTATGATTAGAGTAAAAATTCCAAGGAACAATTTGTTAGATTCTTACTGTCAGCTTGTTCAGGCCCATCTCAAACTGGTCATACTCTTTCCAGAGAGTATTGACAGCCTGCGTGGGTACCCCAATGGCCCGTTGATAGGCCTTCCGAAGCAGGTCCATCTTTTGTTGGTCCTGCCATCCAGAGCCCCCAACGTTTCCTGGGCCAGAGCGGATGAATTGGACGTAGTCGGACCAGATCGACCCCGAATCCTTGTCGATACCGATGTGCTGCAGCGCCAGTTCATAGGCCGATGAAATGATTCGTCTCGCTTGACCGTTTGTGTCGGTGGTGAGGGGATTCCGGCGACGAACGTAGTCTAGGTACACGGTCCAGAGTTGCACGTCCGCAATCGTCAGCAGAGTCCGGTTGAATATTTGCTCCAGACGGAAGAGTTCATTCAGTTCGGACTCCATTGTCGCGTAAGCCACCCATTGCTCAGCCTGAAACCGTAAGTCGATCTGATCGCCTCCCAAGAAATACAGTAGAGGCCACTTACAGAAAAAGGGAAAACCTTCAGAAAGCGCTCATATACGTCGCGTGCGTTATCAATTCTATTGCGACTCCTATGTTCGTTAATCAGTTCCAGCCAGGCGGGAATATCACCACGGGGGTCTTCTTGGATGCGGTCTTCCAGGATGCCAACCCGGTCGTGAGGCAAGCGACCCTTGGCGGTCGAGGGCGATTCGGGGGTCACAGAGGTCCCATCCTGCGCCTGCTCCGACGGGGCGACACTTGCGCTGTACAGCTCCTGGCCCGAAGCCACTGACACATCATTTTTAGAAGCAGCAGGGAAAGAACTATTAGGGGCATTCTTCGTGCTGGCAGACACCTGCGCAGCTTCATCCAATGATACATCAGGGGTAGAAGTAGCTTCATTTGCATTTCCTGAAATGGGTTGCGAAGGTATAGTATTCATGTCTTCGACACCTAGTACAGCTGGTGGCTCATAATCTGCCTCACCCGCATCATCCTCATCCTCATCCTCGACCACAAAGCCCCCAATTGTCCTGGTCTTGGGCGGAACCGAGGCCCCAGTGGCGAGGCCCGATGCTGACGTCTGGGACTCAGCTCGTGAAGGTGTCTCAGAAGGGAAGGCATTGCCAGCTAGCTGACTAGGGTCTGATTCAGGGGGAACAGGCAGGGAAGTAGAGGTGGTTGTGGTAGTAGTAGTAGTTTGTTCGGGGGGATTGGAATTGGAAGGAGAAGCATCATGATCAGGCACATTGTCCTGTTGGTTGGAGTCTGTCAAGGAAACAGAATACTGATCTGGCAGTGATTTGGAAGGATCATAGTCATCTGAATCTGAACTATCTGCACCCTGCTCTTCCACTGTCTTATAGTCTCCAGAGTCCGCATTCATAGCCTGAGCCTGGAAAAAGGCCTTTTCAGCATCATCTTCAGCCATGACCGACGGGGTGTGATTGAATGCGACAAAGGTATTATGGGATATATGTTAAGGGAGGAGGAGTGTTGGTAGTTGAGGAGGGAGGGAAGCAACGAAGGAACCTGATTGAGTTTGATTAGCTGATTGAAGTCTTGAATGGGGGCGGACAGCAGAATGAGCGATGAATCATTCATTCACTCATGAGAGGGGAAAGACCCACGACGATGGGAGAAGAAGCGCGCGGTTAGGTGCTGGGGATGAACGAGGAGGGAGGGGAAGGTTCAGGGGAGAGACAGAATCTGCGTCAAGATAGGAGCGGGCGATAGACACGAGAGGCCGCTGGTGGATCAGCGACACTGACGACAAGATGGAGTTCATCCGCTCGAGAGCTTCTTTCTTTCTTTGCTTCGCCCGACCGGTGTTCGCCCACGTGATCTAGGCGGTGGGCGCGAACTTGGGCGCAGAAACACGCGGCGCGTCGTCGATCTTCCTGCCGCATGTTTAATTACTGCTGGCCGCTGCATCCCCATTCATTCAGTTGCCAAAGAGATCGTCTGCTCTTCTTTTCTCTCTTGTCTCCTCCCTCCTCCCTTTTCATACCTCTTATATATCTCCGCAACCTCTTCGTCTCACTCCTCTCTCCATCACACTTCTCCACGTCTATTTCTTCTCGCTCACTAAACCACCCTTTTCACACCCCTCTCTCCATATTACTCAATAAAGCAATTCGCTCCACTACCGCCCCTCCATCGCGATGTCGGTCGTTTCTCTTCTTGGCGTGAAAATCGTCAATAATCCTGCCTCTTTCCTCGACCCCTATCAATTTGAGATCACTTTCGAATGTCTTGAACAGCTGCAGAAAGGTACGCTGTGTACCCCGCTCCCGTGAATTGGCCGCCACTAACGAGTTTCCAGATCTGGAGTGGAAGCTCACCTACGTCGGTTCGGCGACATCGTAAGTTGGATCTTCAGCGAGATAAAGTCCTCTTACCTGCTAACGACCTGCTTCTCTAGCTCCGAGTATGACCAGGAACTCGACTCCCTGCTGGTGGGACCGATCCCCGTTGGTGTCAACAAGTTCATCTTCGAGGCCGACCCCCCAGACCTCAAGCGCATTCCTACTTCCGAAATCCTGGGAGTTACCGTGATTCTCCTCACTTGCAGCTACGACGGCAGAGAATTCGTTCGTGTCGGTTACTATGTAAACAACGAATACGATTCCGAGGAGCTTATGGAGCAGCCGCCGGCTCGGCCGATCATCGAACGCATTCGTCGGAATATCCTTGCTGAGAAGCCCAGAGTAACCCGGTTTGCCATCAAATGGTAGGTATCATCTATTTGTTTTTCTTGTCATACGATACTAATAACTACCGCCTAGGGACTCGGAGGAATCTGCCCCCGCTGAATACCCGCCAGATCAGCCCGAAGCCGACCAGGAGGGAGATGACAGTGCCGCCTACGGTGCAGAGGAAGCAGAGCTTGAAGCAGCCCTCTTCAAGGAGCTCAACGAGCTGGAGCCTAAGACCGAAGATCAGGAGATGGAGGGAACCGAGGGCCCTGCCACCAAGGAAGAAGAGGAGGAAGATATCTCGGATGCCGAGTCTGAGGACATCGAAGATGAGAGTGACGAAGATGAGGAGGAACTCGACGAGGAAGAGGGCGACGACGGCGATGAGGACGTCGAGATGGGCGATGATTCCGAGCAGAAGGATGAATCGGCCGGAGGCGCCAGCAACAACAACCCGGCGGCCCATCAACAACAGCCCGAGTTGATGGTGCACTAAAGCAAATGAAGAGCCCCGAAGTTATACTACCTTTCTTTATTTCTATTCCGTCGAATGATTTTACGATTGGGTTGCAACGTGTTTCATGACAACATTCTCATCTATCATATCCCCCCGCCACCTTCACATCTTTGCAAGTACTTAGCTTATGACATAGAACCGACCAGCCAAACAAACATAATTCGAAAAAATGCACATACTTGACTCCAACTCCTCATCTCTCTCTCTCTATCTATCTTACCCCTCCACATTCCTCACCGCATCAAATGCAAGGGCAATCTGAAAAGACCCAAGCTACCATGGCAACTGCATGTCATCCCTAACCGAGTACGTTAGCTGAAGAACCAACGCAAGGCCAAAAAGCAAATTCCCAACAGGGCAAAACCCAAACAAGTATTCTAGCTTACACAATGGCATTGATCTACAACACATAACTGTATATTCGAATGATATTAATTCCCGCGTTTTCTGTTGTGTAACTTCACCACTTCACACGATTACTACTCCGTACGCAGTAATACTGGTCCACATTCACCCTTGAAGCTGACAATGGGTAATACTAAATGTGTTATTGAGCTTGTGAAGTGGGTATTAGTTCTATAGTATCAACTAACGTGACAATCCTTAATCTAATCCTATATAATACAATATTAACACAATATCCCTATTCATATTCTGTTCTGCGAAGGGTCAGGGGAGGCTGCGGTGAAGACCGATATCTACGCAAAAAGGAGTAGGTGAGGATGGGGATGGTGAAGCAAGGAAAGAGAAGTATTCATCTATCTACCTATGGGCTGCTTTCTGTTGCTTGGTTTGGTAAGGGGGGTAGGGGAAGAAGTCCTTGCGCTGATGCGTAAGTTTTCTTTCTCTCTTTTTTTTAACCTTTGAATGGTGGCCTGTTATATGTGGAGTGTTACTATAGCTCTCTATGTGGAAATAGAGGGTTGATGATGGATGTGTATCTATTCTTGCTTATTGGGGGGGGGGGGGGGGTGAGGTGTTCACGTAGGACTATCTATCTAGGACTTTATTATGATGATTGGATGGGTGAGTTCTTCCCAGTGGTGTTTAGTTGCGGTGAATTTGACTTCCAAGTCTTATAATACTTCTACCATGCAGAAAGATAAAAGTTTGATCTCTGCAGAAAGTCTACGTTTCTTGAATTGATTGAAGATCCGAACAAGCTCGATTGAATCCGAGAATTAGGTCAAAGCATTTTATTCAACACAAAAAAACAGCACGCGAAAACGCCAACAAAAGCATGGGTATGGTATGGTATGGTAGGAATAATAATGAGTCTAATGTACTCAGCTGTAATTGCTGCACTCTTCTTTTACTTCATGTCACCGCGGTGTGTATCTAGAAGCCGAACTTCGAGCCGAGTGCTATAGTCACATTAGTTCAGTCCCTATCTGAAAGGAGTGGGTGGAAACTCACCGCCAAGGACCGCTTTTCTCTTCTGATTACTGACGAACTTGTTCACATCGCGAGCAAAATTGCTGCTGCTCTCTTCCAGCCGATCCATGCTGTCGCCTGCAAAGTTGAGCCGCTCGGTGCGTTCCTGCACTTGCCGTTGCATGTAGGAAAAGTACCCTTCCTGGCTACTCGACGACTTGTTCGTTGGGGTTCTGCCTTCGCGGAATGCTTTACGGCGCTCCTCTTCCTCTAGCCGCATCTGCTCCTGCATACGCTTGGATGGTGGCCGATCGGGGCCGCCGACTGTTATAGAGGTTAGCCGCTGATTGTAGGCCAGTAGGGGAGTGTAACGAACTGAGGATGTCCATGTCGGCTGGGGAAACGTATTGCGTTCCTGAGATCCACTGAATGTTGGTGATCGTAGGTCGTGGGGGCATAACGACTTGCGGGTTGTAGAGCTGGTCTTCGGACTGGCGTCTATATAGTCTGTTAGTACTCACGTCTTTATCTGAGATGATAGGTGCTGGTGCTGCGTACAGTCCGTGTCCTCCTCCCCATACACTGAATAAGCCCACTTCAGAAGGACTGGTCCAGACCATGACGGTCCCATTGGAGGAGATCGTGGCATCCGACAGGCGTCTCATATCAGCTATTTGATTGATTGGACTGGCGCCAATCTCTTTCAGACCAGGGATGGAGAATGCTCGCGTGTATCCGTCTCCGAAAAGCCCGACAAGACTGTAGCCGCGAGCCTCGGTCTTGACAACCGCTGCGGAATCGCAAAGGTAGTCATCCCAGGACCTATGGGCACCCTTGGAAGTTGCTGGTTTGAAGATCCTGCACCCGGAAACAGTCACCGCGACGACGGCACCGTTCACACGCACTCCGTTTCTCAAGCCCCCAACAGCATTGGGGGTGGCCAAGGCAAGCCCGCCATCGTCTGCATTGATGGGGATGATGTTGATAACCTTGTCATCCAGCAAGCTTGTGCCGACAAACTGAGCCACGTACCGTCCACCCTCCGAGGGCAGGATTTTGAAGGTGGCCAGGTTACCTCTGTTGGTACCCACAAAGCAGCAGATACTTGAATAATCTGCGAGCTGTTAGTATAAATCCGCATCACTTTAGTTTAGTATCCTCACCTTCACCCTCAAGAGTCAGCACACCAAACTCGATGCTGGTAGGCCATTCAGGAGCAGGGCTCTCGGAGCTGCGCTTATTGAAGATACTGCCTCGCTTGTTCGCCTTGAACAATTCCGAGAAGTGAGCCGTGTGGATGATTGCGGGCCCGCGCAAATCCAGGATTGCTAGACTGCCTCCTTCGAATCCAACAGCCACAAAGCCCACTTGACTGTGCTTCAAGGCAGTCACTGGGCCTTGCTGCATGTTTAGGAGTGTCAGTGGAAGGATACCTGTCTTCAAACCAGGGTCGACTCTGTGAGTGATCTTGGTCAATGTTCCAGGGCCTTCATTGGCACCTGGGGGCTCTTCACGACCAAAGCTCTGGTTGTTTCCCCATCGAAAGACGACGAGCTCGCCGGTCCGCAAACCGACTGAGAGCTCACCCGTTGAGCCTCCAAAAGACATCTCGGTCACCTCTACGTTCCCAACCCGCCCAACAGCTCGGGCCAAGTCCACTTGAACGACGTCCCCATTCTCGATCTCATCATCAATGCCAGCATCCCAGATGCGGATAGTGCCATCAGCATGAGCCGTCGTAAGAACGTTGCGATCTTCGAAGCGCTTCAACGGTTTCCTTATCTCCGCTCCTCCGAGTAAAAACTTAGGCCCCTGTGATCGTTTCTCCTTCAGGCCCAGCCACGCAGAACGATCGACTGACGTCAGAGTAACCTTGTTCACGAACGGATGCACGAAACTAAGGTAAGGATGGAGCATGTTTGTTGGAGTGATGGGATGACCACTGGGGAAGCTCATCGTGATGACTTCTCCCGAGGACAAGAGAGCGAGTAATGCGATAGGATCATGAGCGCCGCCATAGTAAGGGGTGCTACGCGGGATGGGGCAGAAGTCGACCACTTCCGCACCGGGAGGAGTAGGTAGGAGTGCGGTGCGTTTCGGGGTCTCGAAGTACTTTGCGATCATTGCCCACGAAGAAGTCTGATAATTAGGAGACGGTCCCAGGTCGATGAAAGTCAGTCCTTTGTTGGCTTCAGCTTTCGGTCGACCGCCAGCGATCAAGAGTCCACTGTCATCACCGTTGTCTTTGACACACCACGCGACGTTTGTAATTGGGTCCTTGAGCCCGGTAGCCGACTGGGGTCGTTCGGGGCTTACACCCGGCTGGTCAATGTTGGGGGTATTGATAGATCTGGCCATGATTTTGCGGCCGTCCTTCGAGTCCCAGAAGACCAAGCTATTATCGTCATGCACTGTCAACACGAAGATACCGTTCGGGTGCCAGAGAGCCCTAGTCAGTCGAGGCCTGCGCATTTCCGACGCCGGAACATCTCCATTTCCTCCCAGAGCACCTGGTGGGACCTCATATTCAAAATACTTTTGAGCAACATTCTGCTTGAACGAGAACGTCACAGCACCTTCCGGATACCCAACCAAGATCTTCCCAATATCCCGAGGCGAGAAGGAGAGACTGAGAACAGGACAAAGGCGGACGCGGGGATTGCGCTGAGCCCACAGATTAGGCACACGGAATGGCGTCAAGGTTTCACGATCCAGATCGTAGGCAATGATATCACCTAGTTGAGACGCCTCGTCAGCACGAAAAAAAAAACAGCACGATCCAATATACCCCATACCATTTTGTAACCCAATAAAAGCATAATCGAGACTCGGATCGGTCAGTAAAGCGCTCGCATGACTCGGCGGAGCATACGAGACAAGCGTTTGTCTAGTTTCTAAGGAGAAAATGCTGATTTCACTTTTCGAGTCGACACTGACGAGCTTGTCGGCGCAGAATTGTATGAATTTGGCAGACGCCTTCCGCGGGAGCGCGAACACCACCGCTACTCGCCGTTGACCGAAGACGTAAATCTGACCATGGCCGAATTGCGTGTCGCTTGTTCCGACGGCGAGGAGCGACTGGACGGGATCGTACGCGATCGCACTGATCTGGGAGTTTATACCGCATCGAGCGAACTATAAGCAGCAACAGCAGGAAATTAGTATATGTCAGTGCATGATATGAGCTTGAGAGAAGGAAGAAGAGAATTTGCTGAGAGATATACATCATCAAGGGCGAACAGGTCCGGCGACAAGTTCTCGGAGAAGTCCTTTTGGATGCCGGCCTGCTTTCCCCGCAGAAAATGCGCCATTCTGGCGGACACGGAACTGAAGGGATAAGGTCGGAGAGTAGAGGAAAGTTGAGAAAAAAGGAAGAGAGAGAGAAGGCGCTAAAAATCAAGTAGATAAGAGATTGTTAAGTCAAGCAATGAAGCTAAGAATAAGGCTGCAACGACCCCCGCGGTAGAGGAGCAAGTCGAAGAAGAAGTGGTGTTTCATGACAACCGCGGAAATCCTCCAAACGGTTGACGCCATTAAGGCTGACCTTTGAAGGTGACTTGTGACTAGTTCAGCTTAGTGTGTCTTGCCCCGCCCGACCGCTGGATTTAATGGGGATCCCTTGCTGGCTCGCGCTTGTTGAAGATTACGAAGATGATCAGTCTATCTATCATAAATGATTCTTAATAGGGCTCTCTCTACATTGCTATCTCAAAACGGGGCTCTCCGTATACATTCCAGCACGGAATGAGTTCGTATTTCTCAGGAACCAGATCTCTTACATGGGTGGAAATCAACTTCCAAGGAGAACCTCGCCAATCTTCGTAGGCAGCAACAAATCATCGCCAAGACAGCTTCCATGCCGACATGACCGAATCTTGCATTGGACTATTGGCTTTTGTTTTCATATGATTTCTCCGAAACCGATCATATCCATATTCATCATGTAGCTCATGGTCGAACACTGCTGTGTAGCACTAAGGAACCTTTCCCATTCTTGAGACTTCCATCTGAAGTCTAACTGCAGATCGGTCCGGCCGACTGAACTAAATCCGAGTCATTGTTCCCATCTATATAATCTTCCAGAGATGTCCCTGGACATCCCATTTCAACACAACGTGCAGACTCCGTCTACGGAGGCCATCTCAGCTAAGACTGACGTTAGACGTCTCCTAGCATCGATCTCGGCAGCCATCCCCTGATCGCGGTAGTAGTGTATCGTAACCTGGTGCACAGCACGATAGCAGGCATACCTAAGGGACCGACAGTCAGCTCATAGACTCTCCCACCATTTTCAGTCTCATCCAGAGATTGCATACAGTAGTTGTCGGGCCACCTGGGCCTTATTTGTCTTCGGTCGAGTACCAAAGCCCTCCAACACAGCCGGAGACGGCGCCTCAAAGATCTCTGCCATATGCACATCGCCCCAGAGAGTGTTCTCTAGCCCTAAGAGTCCTGCAAGCTTCTTCGACCCCGGATTCAACACCACCTGCGACGGCCGGCCTAACCCAACAATCACTAGTTGCGGTGACGTAATTTCCTCGAGCGCAGGGGACAGCCGACGAACTTGGTTTCGAATCTCTGCATATGGAAGATGAACAAAAGCGTCTTCGGAGTCCCGGAGAATGCCTTCCAGAAGTGTCACAAACGCTTCTCGCCAGGACTGCTTCCCTGATCCGCAGGCTACCTGGTCTAGTGACCCAAAGGAGCTGGAGAAATTCTGTCCGATCTCACGAGCTAAAGACCCCAGAGCCCGGTTGAGATCATCCCGCTCTTGCATGGTAAGCGCGGATTCCAGCTCCTGCATTGTCGCCCCATTGATATAGTGTCTTACTAAGAAGGCAGAGCCCAGCGGTCCCCCGTGGAGACCATAATGCAGGAATGACGGGATGTATGGGGTTTCCTGTTGTTCTAGGATGGAGTGGGCACGGGCTTCAGTTTCAAGTAGCAGCTGTTCTCGCCGTAAGAGAGGCGTTGTCGGCCCTGGAGAGCACTTCAGAAGCAGGTGGACCCCGTTCGACAGTACGAGGCGACTAATTGAATGTAGGTGGCCCTTGAGCGGATAGATTCCTTTGACATGTACCGAAGAAGAAAAGTGGCGTTGAAGGATGGAGCCGAGAGTATAAGAAGGTTCAATGTCAGGGATTAATATCGGTGATAAAGAAGGCGACATTTCGCGCAACACTTCAGTTATGTTGCCTCAGCGCTCGCATGCTCGCATGCTCGCTACTAGTACTAGATATAGTTATGATAATCCATAGCGCTGGGGGGGAGGGGGAGGTAAGCAAATATAACATGAGCGAGCAAATCTTTACTGCAGTCATCGGGGAGAAAAGCCAGGCAGCCGCAACCCGGGGATACAATGGGACCCGGACATGGAACAGAGGTAAGACGCAGGTTACTGCAATCGAACAAGGAAGGTAATAGATTGTCTAACCGTCAAAGCAACACAGCTAAGGAATACTAGGAACAGGGAAACCGGTCGATCTATCTCGTTTCTGAGCGTCAGATGATGGAGGAAGACCCGTAACGAGGACATGGAGCATATCCCTTATTTGAAAACATTAAGCGAAGCGGAAGCTCCATATCCGAAGCCCCTTACTGAAGGGGACATCCGTCCGGGATCCCCACTGTTCAAATTGGAGAAAGAAGACCCCAAGAAGCATCCATTGGAGTATTGGCCAGGAAGTGAAGAAAGGGTCGTGATCCATGGAGACGCAGCTCGCCTAAGGCTCCCGCTCTGAGAAAGGCGCCATGCAGGGAGCATCCACACCGGGCCAATCACAGGCTGGCCTTGCCGAAAGTGTAAACCTCCCCCGGTTGTATCGGCCGGTACGAATGCCGATATTGCAGCGAACTACGAATCTACTCATAGTCTGTGCATACAGTAGATTAATAAGTAATCACTGCTACTACGATGAAATTGTAGGTCTGCTATCCCAGTTACCCTTTCGCACATTGATCGCGGAAGGTAGGAGACTTGTGCTACCTAATGTATGTTGTGCTGCTTGGGTAACTTTTGGCACATCCCTGTTCTGTTTGCCCTCCAATCAAGCTATTGGCAGACGGACCGTCCTTCGAGCGGGGATTCAATAAATTATGCCTCCCTTTGCCATAGCCTCTTATCTCTAAATTACACCACTTTGAACTAATTTGCCGGTAGCCACGCATCATGCGTCGGCTCTAAAGTTCATGTGGCTCATAGAGGGGATCATTTAGAACTAAGAGAGGCCATTTCGGTGGTTAGGATATCGCGAACTCTGTATATACATTTTTCTAGCTTTTGTCTGTCATGGAGCTGATGAGGCGATCACATTCCGCCATTTTTCAAGATTTTTCCCGACGCCAAATATCGCCCAAAAGTCAGTCAAGGAGAATGCGAGGTTAGTCCTTAGTAGATTCGGCGGCCTCTGACGTAGCTGCTGGACTGTATAACTCGGCCAGGTTATACTTCTTTAACCGATCGTAGTCACTTCCGGCAACACTCATGCCAATGACATTCTGATAATTTATTGTCAGTTACGGTACTTGTATGAGCGACTTAAACACCACACCACGTCCGTAGAATACTGACCTGGATAACGGTGACGAGAATGATCAAGTCATAGTTCTTGAGATCAACGGGATGCTCGGGCCCCACGACATCTGCAACGGTCTTGATGACAATGTCGCGGTTGAACTTCTTGTTGCTTCTCACCACAGGTCGAATTGCGTACTGAAATCTTCTGGTTAATGGGAGTTCATGACCGTTTAAGCCTTACGGTGAGGCCGAGACTCACCTTCTTGGGAGGTCCCCCGGAATGGAAATGCGGTTTGAGTATTTCCCGTGCAAAAGACTCCAGGTCGACACTGAGAGTTTTGCGAACGGAAATTGCAGGTGTCATGCGTTGGATCCATCGGGATCGTTTCTTTTCAGGATTAGCAGCTGCGTCTAAGCAAAGCTGATGTACCATTTCCTCTGGATTGATGGATTTGTCAAATCGCACAAACAACACTGAAGTATATTAGCGTCTCTCAAAACCTAGATCAATCTAAGGAGGAGAACGAGGGTTAACGCACGACATGGCAAATCCATTCTGATGGCATGAAACGGGCGGGACTTGCTCGCGCTGGGCTTCAGGCCTTCGACCTCTCTTCTGATTTGGGCCTCGATGTCATCATCGTCATCCTCCTCATCCGAGTCGAGCTTGTCTCCATGACTGTCACTGCTGGATGATTCCACACTCTGGGAAATAACACAAGTCAGATGGATGAGCATATCAGATCGCATCAATCTGCCAGATACCGTGGGTCGCCTTCTATGCACAAAGCCCTGTCCTTCATGCTACTAACCTGCGAGAAAACATCCACTACCTCTGCCATACATTTCCCTTCCTTTCCCAGATCGCACGACACGAAGACTCCCCAGTCGCCTCCCTCAATGCCCGACTTATTGCCTTGTTGGTGTTTCTGCCATTGGCCACCTCCCTGTGCCGCCACGCGTTAGACATTGATTACCAGATGCGGAAAAGCCAATGGTGAGACGTTTGTGGTCAACATGCCACGGACATCAGATGGGGCGGACCTTTCTCTTCTTAGCAGGCTGAACGGATTTCCTATCAGGCATGGCTCTCTTCCCTGATCCAGCCATCGACAGATGTTAATGCGTGGGTGAATGGGGATGGATGCCGGTACGGGATTTGTGCGTGTGCAAGTGGGGAGGGGGATTGACCGCAGGAGGTGCACGCACGTTGCCCGGTTGTCCGAGTTGACAGGGAAAATTCAAGCTTAGTGGTGAGATTAAGCTGGTCCTAGAAGTTCTAGATGCACTACTGGTGACACGAGGGTTCCCAACAGATAAGGCCAGGCATGGCGCGGGGGGGTTTAAAATTCCACAAAAGGAATAGCGGCAAAGCGGGCGATCATCATCCCACTTGGTGGAGTGACGGCTTGTTACTTGCTAGTTTGTGTGCTGCAATGTGGTTTCGGCCGGATTGAACTTGCTTGCTTTTTTATTAGTGCAGCTGCTGTTATCAGTTTATCGCTGCTTCCGCAGCACCTTTTTACTTCCAGGGATCCGCCATAGCTTATTTGACTTGGATATACGATCGAACCACCCCATCCATGCCATCATGGTCGGAGATCTCCTGAAATCCCACGCAAAGCATTCAATACCTATCCTCTAGGAATGATCCCGGAGATCCGGCTGTCATTCACCGTCGCGTGGTGTAGCTGTTTGCGTGAGGATTGAGTTCGGTGACACTATTTTTGTCTCTAGTTCCACTTCTACAGCATGACATCACGCGTGCCCTTTCATTCATGACGTACGGCCACACTGGGTTCCAGACTCCCTGGTTGGGACAGTCAGAGGCACCTATTAATACTCTTCCTCTCCTCAACATCTGTGAACATCATCTCTCAGACACGACCAATACTTCTCTCGTCTAATTCCATACTAGCTTCATCATATCGCATTTTCTCTCACACAGTTCAATTTATCGTGATGGCGACCGATATCGCTACCCGGGATCTTCGGAAACCCATCACGGTTGCGGAGTACCTCTTCCGTCGTCTACACGAGGTTGGCGTTCGCTCTGTGCATGGCGTTCCAGGTGACTACAATCTCGCGGCCTTGGACTATCTGCCAAAGTGCGGTCTCCATTGGGTGGGCAATTGCAATGAACTTAACGCCGGTATGCTTGAGCCGAATCCACTGTTGTAATTGTACTACCTTGGTGACAAGTATTGTCATAACTGACGCGGACAACCTACAGGATACGCTGCCGACGGGTATGCTCGTGTAAATGGAATCGGAGCCCTGATCACTACCTTCGGTGTGGGTGAGCTTTCGGCGCTCAATGCCATCGCTGGTTCGTACTCCGAATTTGTGCCAATTGTTCATATTGTGGGTCAGCCCAACACCAAGTCTCAGAAGGATGGCATGTTGCTGCACCACACCCTGGGAAATGGCGACTTCAATGTGTTTGCGAAGATGAGTGCAGGCATCTCCTGTACCCTCGGTCGCCTTAACGAGACACTGGAGGCTGCAACACTTATCGACAACGCCATCCGTGAATGTTGGATTCGCAGTCGACCTGTCTATATCAGTCTCCCCACCGACATGATTGTCAAGCAGATTGAAGGTGACCGACTCGACAAACCGCTGGATCTTTCTCTACCGGCGAATGACCCTGAGAAGGAAGATTATGTTGTGGACGTTGTCTTGAAGTACCTGCATGCTGCGAAGAAACCTGTTATTCTGGTGGATGCTTGTGCCATCCGTCATCGGGTCCTTGACGAAGTTCATGACTTGATGGAGGCCTCCGGCCTGCCTACTTTCGTGGCTCCGATGGGCAAGGGAGCAGTGGATGAGACCCGTCCGAACTATGGCGGTGTGTATGCTGGCACTGGATCGAACGCGGGTGTTCGTGAGCAAGTCGAGTCTTCCGATCTTATTCTGAGCATCGGTGCTATCAAGTCGGACTTCAACACTAGCGGATTCTCATATCACATCGGACAGCTCAACACCATCGATTTCCACAGCACTTACGTGCGCGTGCGATACTCCGAATATCCAGAGATCAATATGAAGGGAGTCTTGCGCAAAGTTATTCAGAGGATGGGTGCTGTCAACGCCGCGCCAGTTCCGCATCTCTCCAACACGCTTCCCGAGAGCGAGAAATCTTCCAGCAGCCAGGAGATCACGCACGACTGGCTTTGGCCCAATGTGGGTCAGTGGCTGAAGGAGAATGACATTGTTATCACCGAGACTGGGACTGCCAACTTTGGCATCTGGGAAACCCGATTCCCGGCGAACGTCACGGCCATTAGCCAGGTCCTGTGGGGTAGCATTGGCTACTCGGTTGGGGCGTGTCAAGGTGCTGCACTAGCAGCGAAGGAATTGGGCAATCGTCGGACAGTTCTCTTTGTTGGTGACGGAAGTCTTCAACTCACTGTTCAGGAGTTGAGCACCATGATTAGAAACAACCTCAACCCCATCATGTGAGTGTTCCCTAACGGCGATAAGCTCCACGTTATGACGATACTGACCAAATCAAGCTTCGTCATCTGCAATAACGGATACACCATTGAGCGGTACATCCACGGATGGGACGAAAGCTACAATGACATCCAGCCATGGGATATTGAGGGTCTGCCCCGAGTCTTTGGAGCCAAGGACAAGTACAAGGGCTACAAAGTGAAGACAAGGGATGAGCTGAGGCAGCTATTTGCGAACCAGGAGTTTGCTTCTGCGCCATACTTGCAGGTACGTAGTACATTCATTGCCTTGACGTTTCGACTGTGTCCAGGAGAATGCTAACCAAGACGGCACAGTTGGTGGAGCTTCACATGCCTCGTGATGATGCTCCCGCCGCGTTGAAAATCACGGCTGAGGCGGCTGCCACCAGAAACAAGTAATGAAGGATCACCCGGGCTTCGAGACATCCTCGCTTCTTCCCCTTAATGTATTTATCTTTCTTCTACTTTGACCTGTCACTCCTGGAGAGGAACAGACATCTCACTCTGAAATAATTGTGTGAAAAGCCGAATACGAAATCTAATGAATTCCAGCCAAGTTGTATGCGCACGTGCCCTTGCCGTATTTGCATTTTGGGGTTTGGGGGTCTTGGAAACCTTGGGAGGTGCGTTTAGGGAGTCTAGTGCTTATCATACCTGTTCAATGCCAAGGGAAAACATAGTGGAACTAGCTTGATAGTCAGCCAGCCAGCCAACGTGCCGTGTGAGACATTCACTTGGGAGGAATGACAAGCCGAGAGATAAACACATTGACAATGTCAAGTAGTACAATGTAGTTGGTGACATGATTATAGTCAGAACTAGCCCTGTAGGAAAAGGAGGAAGAGGTGATTGTCCCTCTAGGGCTGAACACGACAGGGGCAACTGTCAGGTGGGATCCCCGAATGTTTTGGCCCACCTTTCACTTGATGGGTAGACTAGGTACTAAGAAGCCCATGGAAAGGTGGCGGAAAAGGAGAGACAGACACAGAAAAAAAGGGACCGGCTTTGGGCTGCTTATCGGGGGCACCACCACGTGATCGACGGGAAGGACAGTCAGTCCCAGGCGCTAAGGCGGCCAGCGCATCAAAGCTCCTCAGGATTGATTTCCCTGGGCGGGCCGCGACGACTCGGCGACAGGTTAGATTATTACTCGAGTACCCCATATGAAATCTGGCGAGCAGGCCTCTGTCCCTTCCTTGACGAAACACCTAATTAATCTATACGGTGGACTGCTAATTTGCCGCCACCTGCCACTAATCCACTGTGCGGTCGAATCCCCAGCGGTTTTGCTAATGGTATGTCTTAGCTTCCCCGTTGAGCCTTCCGCCGCATCATTTCCCCCCTCCCCCCCTCCCCTTCGACTAGTTTACTAGTTAGCCAGAGAGGAACTGGACTGGTCCCGACTATTAGGGGGTGATTGCCGCAATTTGCCCGGACCTTTGACTTACTTTAGGAGATCCAGCTATCTTTAAGGATTTGACACCCCTCTGAAGAACGCCCCAACTTATTCCTTTCGCTACGGTTTGCGTCTGCAGCTCGACTTGCGTGTGACCTCTCCGGTTTCCAGCCTCCTCTGCACACCCCCCCGTCCATTCCCCGATCAGGTGGAAAAAGCTGATGCCGTCCCTTTGCTCCCTCCGCTCCTGCTTACGTACTGGCGTCCGCTCCGATCTGGACGCTATCTGCGCTTGATTGACGTGCTTCGAGAACAGCCGATTGCCTGCTCTTCATCCTGGTCGCTGAAACTACCGCCCAAAGTGCTGCTCGGAACGAAGGGCATCATCTATCGCGTCGTGCCGGCTGCTCTAGCTCTGACAATGTGGGATTGCCTTGGGTCCTAAGCTTTCATGGTCTATCAGTCCCCACTTCAGGGACAAGTTTGATTGCGCAGCCCCGTGAGGTATATGAGAGCAGAACCTTATTGGGCTCCCAAAACAACTTGTCTGCTCGTTAGGCTCAGACATACGCCTCCTTGCATCAATCCATTGGAGACGTCGCAGACATCGCCAATATGAACGGTCAACGCCCGCAGCAGTACATCCCCGTACCCCCGCCTTCGTCGGCGACGCAGCCTTCCCAATCGCACATAATCCCTTTACCACCGCCGCCGCCTCGGTACCCTCCAACTCAGTCGCAGGGTGTTATGCTTCCCCCGCCCCCGGGACTACCTCCAGGGACAGCTTATGGCGCCTCCAAACTTACCAATCCCCAATTGCAACATCAGAATACACTCGGGTGGCAGCAACAGAGCTGGGCAAGACAAGCACTCTCACAAGGGTATCTTCCACCTCCTCCGCCTCCCCCCATGGTGCCTGCGAATCAATCTCCATACGGGCGTCCTGCAGCTTTGTCGATTCCCTCCGCGGAAACTCGGACGTCTGCAACTTACGTTCCTCAAGCTGGCACTTTCGGGCCGGGGGTCGGGATCCCGCCATTCGACGTACACTCGAACACGTACGACGGTGCGGGGACGATGCAGTCCAGCGACAGACAACGGAACACCTCCACTCAAGCCTACGAATATTCAGCCACCGACTCTTCTCCGTATAAGCGGGATGCCAATGTCCCTGCCACTCCTTCTACTACTCGCAATCTACCTTCCTCTCTAGCTGTCCATGATGGTGCTCATGATATGGCTTCAGCCAGCTACGCCGCCACGAACGTGCAAAACTCGCTACAACAGGTGTCTGCGCCATCTTCCGAACTCACCACATCAGGCAGTCATCGCCATAATCACAGTACATTGCTTGGTGGCATGTCGCCAAATGAGGCCTCGGTCCAGTGGCCTCTCGATCGTGTCCTGCAGTGGCTTGCGAATAACGGATTCTCTACAGACTGGCAAGAAACCTTCAGGTCCTTGGAAATTCAAGGGGCCGACTTCCTCGAGCTAGGACATGGGTCAAATGGCCGGCCTAATCTGGGCAAGATGCACCAGGTGGTCTATCCTCATCTTGCAAAAGTGTGCGAAGCAAGTGGCACCCCCTGGGATCAGATTCGTGAACGGGAAGAGGGAAAACGCATGCGCCGGTTGATTAAGAAAATCCATGATGACGGCAGTTATGATACCGAGATCTCTATTCAGAAGCGACGCGATTCTCACCCTATGAGCGCCCACGATGGCGCACCTGACGCTTCGCCGAAATTGACTTACGAGCCAAGGTCCGCGGGTCCTGCTTCGGGGAACATCACAAACAGCCCTAATCTCAAGGCCCCCCAGCCTGCATATGGACAAAGACAGAGCGTTCAGATGCGTTCTTTCACAACACCTATACCGACAACTCATGATCATGCGTCTTCCGAGCTTGCTACAAGCGAAGCTAATTCAATGTGGTCCCGGTCGGACTATTCGCGAGCTGTTTTATCTAGCATCGGTGGTGAGCATCACAGGCAGAGCCCTTCTATGTCCAGTGATGGCGGGACATTCCAGATACCTATTAGATCCTACGAGGACAGTCCCAAGAGCGGGAGCCCAGCGGCGCAGCATGCTACTTTGGCACATACAGGACCCTCGTCATCCACGGGAGATCTCGGTGTTAAGTTCGAGCACTCGCGCGGCAACAGTTCAGATTCGACCACTGGTCGCCGGTATTATGAATCCATCAAGCAAGACGGCGGGATCCGTCCTTCGCCGCAGGAGTCAAGCAATCGCCATTCTGGTGGGGAGACACCGTCCTCGTACCCCAAAGACCACCGTAATGGGCTTTTAGGGTTCTTCAAGAAACGTTCCAAGGCAGGCGATTCCAACCACCCGTCCCCAGAGGAGCCGTTTTTGGAGTCTCCCACCAGCCCAGTCAACATGCGCCAGAACAGCTCACAGCTGCCTTATAATAGGCCAAATTTCAGTACCAGTGAGTTGTCGTTGGGCGAGCGGCCGTCATCCTCGTCCATGTCGGATCATGAACGATTGGCGTTGCGAGGCACCAAGCCAATGCAAAAGAGCAAGAAGTGGACATTTGTGACTCTGGACGGATGGAACTATCGCTTAGTCGACATAACTGAGATGGACTCCGTGGAGACCCTACGTTCTGCCATATGTCAAAGCCTTGGAATCGCTGATTGGACTGGGGCGCAGATCTTCATGACGGAGCCCGGGCAGACTGAACACGATGAGCCTTTGAATGACACTAGCCTGGCGTTGTGTCGACGGACAAAGTCAGACACGGTTGGCTCATTGAAGCTGTTTGTACGAGGGCCTCATATGCAACTGGGTGTGAATAGCTCCACTCACTACGGCCTGGGGCTGTCAATCCCAGAGAAGGGCACAGCCTCGCCCACATCTGCACACCATGTGCACAGAAAGCCGCTTGACGAGGAAGCTCTCAGCAGGATATCTCCTCACAACCCGGCCAAGCCTACGTCTCCTCAGGTGTCTTCCCGACAGCAGCTCAAAGCTCCCAGTGCTAAGCTACCGGCCTCGCAACCATCAATTACAACGTCTCCAGTCGACGGTGGCGCCGAAGCAGGACTGCCTACTGATGCCGAGAAAGCAGACCTGTTAGCTCGTCACGAAGAACATATGCGTGAGGTTGAGCGGAAGCAGAGGGCCTACCGCATCTCAAAGGTCCCACCCATGCCACAACCGAGAAAGGATGTTTATGGTGAAACTGGTTACCGGCGTGAAGGCGTCATCGATTTTGATCAGCCCCGCACGTCTCCCTACGAAGACAAGAAGTCTGAGCCACTTGTGCCACTTCGCAAGCCTCCTACTGCGCCTCACGAGTCAAGCACACTCACCAAAGTCAATTCACTAAGGAAGAAGGATATTGAGCGGCCCCGCATACAGACTACCGCGCAACCACATGGTACTCACGGTCTAGGAGCAGTATTGGCCAGTGTTGGTAGGATGACTAGCGCCATTGGAACCCCATCTCCATCGGTCCCTACGCCACCTGCCGCTAGTCAGGAGCTCAGAGGGCCATCGCAATCGTCTACGGAGCAGGATAACCAAACAACGCCGACAGTGCATTCGAGTCAGTCTCCGGCACAACCCGGTTCTGCGACTCCTCAAGAACCGAAACCGCCTCTGCAGTCTCGCAAGTCATTTGGACCCGAGTTTGACTTTGAGGAGACCAAGGTCTCTTTCCAAGGGTCACCGGTGCCACAGCAGCCCCAAGAGAACTCTGATGATGACTCCGATGATGGACTTTTCGCTATTCCCATAGCGAGTACCAAAACCCCGGTTAAAGAGAACCCGCCTATGAACGTCTCGCCAGAGTCCCAAAGGCGAGCCGGGAAACCGTCCCTCACGCTGAACACCGAAAACAGATTACGAAAAGGGTTATCAGTCAGCTTCAGGTCCCCTAGTGCTACCCGCGAAACGTTCGCCAGTTCAAGCGGGGAGTCTGGCAACAGGAACCCGTCCTTCCTTGACATGAGTGCGTCGCCGGAGGAAGAGAAGCCACCTCGCAGGGATTCTTTTGCCCAAGGCGACCTGTGGGCAAGCAGACCTCCAGTCGAGGGCGTCATTGATCACCTCGATGACTTCTTCCCGGACATCGACCTTGATACCCCTTACCTTGACGGGCAGGGCATGTCACCTCCCTCATCCCCGGCCTCTAAGGTTGCAGCTGAGAACGACATAATTCCCAAGGATAAACCAGATGCCGTATCACATCCCACCCCACATACACCTGCGCCCCCAAGTGAGAACACCCTCGGCTCTAGTGAGCCCACCATGAAGCCTCAGGACCCCGGAGTCGTCGCTCGGCGGAACGTCAGTCGCTCTGGCGGTGGGCTAACACGAATGAAGTCTATCCGAGAAGTGGCAAAAGGTGCCAACCAAGCTAGTAGGAATCGGAGTGTGACGTCTCATACTGGAAACCAAAGATCAGGTGATATTTTGCGCCGCAAGAGCACGAAGATGTTCGGCGCCAAGATTATGCAAATCAGCCCGAAGCGTGGCAGCCGTCTTAGCCAGCTGGACCCTATTCCACAGAATCATGCGCCGTCTGGTA